CCATTGAATAATTTTGATCGGCTTACCTAAAAAAAAAATAATGGATGGCGATAAAACTTGGCACTTGGCAGGATAATTCCAGGTCGGCAATGGGAACGTGTGGACCCATCCTGGCGTTACAGCTCTGAGTCTGAACACTGAAATAAGTCAAATTAATAATTTCCATTTCTATTAATTCGATATCATTTCCTTCCTGGCTAAGGAAATTTGCGAAATTTAAATTTGTTTTTAGTGGGCTATACCGATCCCATCACCCCTTGCTCGACCTCAAACACAGAGGAAAACATGGAGCAGGCTCTCCTCTCAGGTACCCATCTCACATTTCGCCTGTTTTTATTGTTTGTTGCATTAAAGTTGTCATCTTTTTTAATGGGAATTTTGTAGATTCTCACTTTATGACTATGGGTTTCCGTCTTGGGTTCAGAAGAAATAAGGAGCGAAAGTGAAGTGAGAGAGAAGGAAAGCGATAAGTGGAGTTCGTATCAGTATGTTGGGAGAACAGGGTCTGTGATCCCAACTGCGTTCTTGGCGGGAACTGAAGTGAGCGTTGAAGAGATTCGATCGGCGGCTTCTTCTGGTCACTACCCGCCTTCCATCCATGCGCCTTTGATCAGCTCACCAGAGCCTGATCCCAGCGGTATGGTCCCCTTTTTGTTCCCCTTTTGAATTAATGGGTGTCAATTGTTTCAGGGTTTTGATGAGGGTTCTAAATTTACTTTCTTTTGTCATGCCAATTTATCTTCTGAATGTTGAATTCTTTAAGGGGGGAAATTTTGGGTATTCCATAAGCCATTGTTCAGTAGACGATTTTATTCTCCCTATTTTTGCCAGGAGGTGGGAAGCTTGTTTATGGACAATGTGTGGCCATTAATTTCGATTGCTAGTGGAATTTTCTTCTTTCTCTTGATAATCATCCACAGATATTGATGACACAATGTTAAATTGCTGTGTTGTATGTTGCAGAGCAAGCTATTATTTTTCAAGGTCCTTATGGAGGAGATTATGGTGCGTACAGCAATGAATTCCAGAGGTAAGGCTAGACCAATCTTGCCTACATTACTGTGAAAGCTTGCCAAACATGTGTACTGGGTTTGATTGTCCTTGTTTTGAATATATTGCTATTGTTGATGTAGGTTAAGTACCATGGACCAAAAAGAGCTTAGGCTTGCTAGTGTTTTGTTCTTTATTTTTTTTTTTTTTGGTTCCTGTTTAGAGGCCTTGCACGCTAGTAATATATCACATAAGCTTGCATTTTCTCTCTTTTTCCTCTTACTCCCCACTTCTCCATGTTATTTGTTACTTCATCTGCTGATGTCTTTACAAACTTCTTGTGCCAATCCTTTTATTGATTTCAGTGTTACATTCAATCAGGTTATCACAATTAATATTAGAATTTGCCTTGTGAAACTAGATTTTCTGAACCTCATGCTATTTCCCTGCCTTTACATTACCAGATCAATGGCACAGTAACATTCTAATTGAATGAATGAATGACCTTGTGTAGGCAAATTTTGGATGAGGTAGAGATACGGGAATTGCTTATTGATCACGTTGGACATCGATGCTGTTGGGGGAGTCGTCCAGCTCGGACTTGGAAAATTCACACTGTTGAGGATTGCAATGTTTATGTGGGAACTCTAGAGACTTTCATTGAAGAAAGGGAAGTTATTAAAGAAACTGAGCCTTACCTTGGAGGCAGTATTGACAGGAATAGTAATCGACCTGAACTTGGCATTTGGGAATTGGATCTAAGATCCGAATTCCCTATTTTATTTGTACCTCATAAAGAAATCCATGTCAAAGTTCCTCATAGTGAAACCATTGAAAAATGCTCAGGTACTGGACTACTGATACTGATATAACAAGCTCTCTTGAGGTTAATGTGAAAGAATATCAGTACCTAAAAGTTGTTTGAACTTGGTTATTTGCATTTCTTTATAGCTGTTGCTCTTTCTATTTTCTTTCCCATTGTACAAAAGCATCATGCTTTATTAATCAAGCAGGCAGTTCATGTAGCGGCTATGGATGTTGATGTCCATTCTAATTTAGAATTAGAAAGTATCTGCAGGTTGTGCAGGACGAGGAGATATTTTATGTGCCTCATGCAATGCAGACCAAGAACCTGGATATTATAAGGAAAATCAGATGAGTGAGTGCCCTATTTGCCATGGAAGGGGTTTGATTGCTCATAGAGATGGATCTGACACAATGTGAGATATTTCTTCTTTCATCTCTTAAGTTATATGGAAGCCATTAGTGTTTTGCTGGAAAGTTGGTTCCATGCTCTAGACTGAAAATGTAATTTGTTTTCCAACCATCCAATTGTTAGAAACCATACTGGTAAGAAACTATTAAAACATCTGACTTGTTTCTGAATTTTCATATCTTGTCAGAAGGTGGCTTTTTTGTACTAGTAGTACCATTGAAACGTCTGACTGTTAGACTGTTGGTGTTTGAACTGGTTATCTATTTAGTTTCTCAACCGTGCTTTCTTGATTTTTCTTGCTGGTATTAGTTGTGTATAGGGATTAGGGAGTATTGCATAATTTGCTCTTGATAGTTACACTCATGTCTCTGCAGATGCAAAAGATGTGATGGGAAAGGAAAGATTCCTTGTGCAACTTGTGGATCTCGTGGGCTAATAAAATGTGAGACGTGCAATGGTAGTGGTTCTCTGTTGACACGCAAAGTTGCCATTGTTAGATGGTATGTGTGCTTATCTATGAATCACCTCATCAGAAAATTATTCTTGCAATGGATTAAATTGCTTGGGCAAATCCATTATATCTTCATGTAATTTCTATAATTTAAGTATAATTAAGTTGTGTGCGTGTCATCTTTAGTTTGATTAAGATGAAATTGTTTGTTATGTATACTTAATATAATAATACCATTGCAGATCGGTTGGTGTCTGATGTTTAAGAGGACATTTTGTTATTTGTAGTCTGTTTATATGAACCTATTTTGCTTCCATGACTATTATTTCCAAGTAACCTTTACTGCTTTCTTTAGAAAAAGGGTAAATAAGGATGCCAAGTTTAGACTTTTTTCTATTTAAGGATGTTAACTTTGTCAATTTCTAAATAAAGATGTGAAATTTTAATTTTTTCTATTTAAGGATGTGAACTTTCAATTCTTTCTATCTAAGGATGTTAACTTTGTTAGTTTCTAAATAAGGATATCAACTTTCAATTTATTCTATTTAAGGATGTTAACTTTTAATTTTTTTCTGTTTAAAGATGTCAACTTTCAACATTTCAATTAAAAAATCTATCTGTCATGTTAGCATTATCATTCAATTAATTCTTCGATTAGCTGTGACTTGATAAGATACTAGAGGGTTTGGAGTTACGTTTAATATTTATTGGCATATTCCATCTTTACAACTATTGTCTTTTTCACCAATAGGAAAACATTTTCAACTCGAAAAGTAAGTGCAACGAGTGGCGCAGCATCAGTTCCAGACGAGGTTTTCCACAGAGCCAAAGGGGTGCAGTTGTGTAATACCCAAGCATATCAGTGCACTCCAGCCTTTTTTGCCGACTCTTATTTCCTCAACAAATTCTCTTCTGAAGTTATTGCCGAAAGGGCTTCAGTCCCTACCACTGCCAGGGTCATATGTGAGAGGCATACAGTATCTGTTGTTCCAGTGACACGAGTCACCATGTCTCATCGCCGTCGATCTTTCAGCTTCTACATCATTGGATTTAGCCGGGAAGTGTACTTGAAGGACTACTATCCTGCAAGATTTTGCTGGGGTCTCTGTCCATGCCTGGAATGGCTGAAGTTGTAATCAGGCATATTTTCCATTCAGAGTTGTTTGAGAGTATCATACATATCATGCTTCTGTTAAAATAAATTAACAAAATTATCTTTGTTTGGGGAATTGGATTGTGAATTGCGGTTTCCTTTCGTTTATTGGATTTTTCTGCATAATGAGAATTCAACCTTCTCATGAGATACCATTTTCTTCTAATTCTTTTTTTTTCTTGAATTGCTTCGACTTACAATTAAATGTTGAATTATTAATGATTAACCAAAAAACTTAGAGCGAATTTTGTTTTGTAATTTAGATAGCAAGACATGAATTATTAGATCAGAAATTGTTGTGATTTTAAAGGTCCAATGCCCATAATCAAAGCAATCAATAAGCACAATCAACCACTAAAAACAAATTAAGCAAAGCAAGAAAAATAAAGATGATATCAGAAATTTTTTATGTGAAAAACTCAAATGAAAAAAACCACGATACACTTGCTTAAATGAAAATTAATCACTAAAAATGCACTAACTTTAAGATTAAAATTCAAATTTCTCAAATCTCTAGTATCAGCAAGGGAGACTTGCTCTCAACTCGCTGTATTTTCTGCACAGTTTCTCAATGTTTTTCACACACTCACCCATCTGCACTCTTTTATATTTGAAAGAGAAAAAAATAGGGTGCTTCTGGATACAAGGATGGTAACAACTATCCTATCAGGGACTAATATGTTAATATGTCCAAAGTTGGAGATGTCTACATTGTTTTCCCCATTTTCTTCGAGAATAGGAAACTCCGTGTCGGGAACTATTGTCCATCTTCAAATAAAAACTTTCCAAGTTTCTTCCATTCTTAGTGCACTCAAGGTGCACCTCCATCGTTGAGCTACCCAATTTGAGAGGGTTAGTTCAATAGAAATAACTTTTAATATTAAAATATTTGTTTTATATATAATAATTTAAATTATGTAACTCAATTTAAATAATAATACATAAATTATAAGAGAAAAAATAATTTTTAATATTAAAAAATTTATTTTTTATTTCAATAATTAAATTGTGTAGCTCGATGGATGCATACGAACATGAGATTAAATTAAGAATCACATCTAGTTCGTTTTTTAATAGTCAGATCAAGTGGTTGAATGCGAAAAGGGATTGAATTCTGATCCCTTGACTCATGGATAAGAAAAGAATTTTGGGCACCATTGAATTATATTTCCCTGAACATTTTTAGATTTACTACTTGCCTACCACGGGCATAACGGTATTCTTCTTCCACGTGTTCATTAATTAATCATAGTAAGGTAGCATTATTATAGAACGTGACATCAAAATGTTTGGTGCGCTAGTTTGTTTGTATCTACAAAATTCCAGATCCTGCTAGGCCCACGGTATTAACTCTCCTACAAGTCCGGCAGGAGGCAGCTAGCCCGCCCGCAGTCAGCAAGTTGAATCATGACCCAGTTCAATTCTAAGGAAAACAGCTCCGGCCACCTACTAGAACTGTGTACTTGAGTTGAAATGTCGCCTGGACCCCTGGATACTTTCTCCAGCAATCTGATTTTCCAGGCAGCATCTTTGTCTACGATGCACGAATTGAAACATACAGTACTGCAGTGAAATTTTTTCTAAATCTAAATTAGTTAGAAACTATGCCAATTGTCTCCGAAATCTCTCGGAATGCCATGTGACAAATAATATTGTGAAAACATACCACTCATTTTGTTAAAAAAAAAAAAAAAGAAGAAAAAGAAGATAACATTTATTATTTTTAAGTGTGGACCATCTAAGTTCAATTTGTCTTTCTTTGGTATAAAATAATTTTTTTATTTATTTTTTGATACACTTGATTATAAGTTATATAAAAAGAGATAACTTTCATTTATTCTTAAATTTCTTTCTATGTGATTCAAAATTAAAAATTAAAATTTTTAATTTGAAATTTCAAATTCTTAATTATTAAATCATCGCATTAAGATTTATAAAATAATTCTTTTAACTTTATTTACTTTCATTTTACGCTTTCTTAATGGTATAGTCGTTTCCAATTATAGGCTCCCCAAAACTCTAGAATTAGCATTGGTTATTTTGATTTGAACAACAACTGATTTCCAGTCTTCGTCCTCGATTGGCTGCTTTGTAGTTTGCACTCCGTCAATGGTCAACTAGCTAGACTGCCTGCTTAAAGCTGATGATTTTTGAAAATAAATATACACCACATCTGTGAATTATATAGAGTTTCTGACTGTCAAACAAATTTGAGAGAGACTGGATAACCAATTCTGATCATTTTTGGACGATTAAATATAATTTTGAAAGTCAGACGGAAAAAACAAATATAATTTTGAAAGACACACCAATCAATTCTTGTAATTTTTTATGTTTTAAAACATTCCCTCCAGCTATTTCCCTTCAACAATATTAAATCAAATATATATTCCATATTGGCCTACTGAGGGAAATATCAGTAGTGGTTAGAATCAAGGGTACTTCTAACTTATTTTATGTACTTATAACTTATTTTATTCACCAAGATTTCCTCCATTTATGGAATGATATCAAATTTTTTATCAATAGAATAATTGGAATGAACGGTATTATAAAGATAAATTTTTTATATTATTTTTTTTAATATAATTTTTATATGTCATTAAATAAGTTGATGCATTTAATATCAAAAATTTTATATAAATAAAAAAAATTAATTATTTAAATGACATGTCAATTTATTTTAAAAAATGATTTTAAAAAAATTGTTTCAAAATTATTTTTCAAATAGAATTTCAAAAATTATAACATATTTAAAAAAATGTTAAAAACTTAAAACGGTGAATTCCTGTTATAAAATAAGTGTACAGTTTTGATTCCGCTTAATTATTATTCAGTAGGATTAAGATCAGTATTTTAACATTTTTAATTACATGATATCTTAAATTTAATTAAAAAATATTATTAAACATTTAAGCTAATTGGTGAGAGGCAAATACCAGTAGCCCACGAAACAAGGCATCGGTGTCAAACGCTGTGCCGAAAAACAGACAACGCGTGTGCTTTACATTCTGTCCTTCCAACGTTGAATTCTCATTCTTCATTTGCACCGAATTAGTTGATGCATCACCATCTATCGTATTTTCTATGATACCTTCAAGAACACCGTTTCTCCTCATTAGGGACACAAATCATGCGGTTCTAAAGAATATTAAAGCTGAATAATTTATATCATTAGATTATAATCATATATATACAAGATATATAAAAATATATCGATGCTTCTAACCCTATGTTATGTGCACGATCGTGTATTACTGTAAAAAGATAATTTTAGGATAATTTTTTTATTTTATTTTTTGATATAATTTAATGTATCATTTATATTATTAATTTTTTTATTTATTTAAATTTTATAATATTAATTATATCTATTTATTTAATAACATATAAAAATTATATCAAAAAATAATATAAAAAATTATATCTATAACCTTGTATATTCTCATATATATTGCCAGGTTCGGTTTATATCATTTGATTACACGCCAAGAAATGCCAATCCGTGATTCGTCAATTTTACAATGTGAAATCTTCTTATGGCAATCCAACGGTAAACAAATCATGGAGAAAGTCTGCTGTATCTGGGGATACCAGCATGCCACATCATCAAAAAAATTTTCCATTTCATTAATCAAATCAATTTATTTAATAATAAAAATAATGATATAATACGTTGTAATAATAATAAAAAAAAAAACCACGTAAGCGATATCCCCGAATACAGCAGAATTTTTCGAAATCATGAGGAGGAAATTGAACGCCTCATTCAAGGGTCATGCATGTATGTAATCACTATGCGGCTGAGCCGACCAGAAATTGCACGGGCAGGCGTAATGATTCGGAATTCGTGCCACGTCTCTTTTTTATTTTTTTTTTCTCAGTTGGAAGAATCTTAATTAAAAGGACGGCGCCCAAAAAAATAACGGGAAACCAAAAAAGGAAAAAAGTCAAAGATAAAAGCTGTTTTTTCTTCTTTTTTTATTTTTTTAATATTCATTCTAGAAACTACTGAGGAAAACAATCGCTTTATTTTATTTTTAACTTGTAAGAATGATGATGTAATTATAAAATTTAATAAAATTATAATTTTATAATAATTATTAAATAAATAAAATTATAAATAATTAATTAAAA